ATGATCAAATAGCTACAGTAGCCTACATAGCTACTGTTAACACTGTAACTTAAAGCGGGTACAGCCTCAGTGTTCACAGTAAATGCGCTGGAAGTTGCACAGAATTTTCACAACGTTCAAGTTTGCGCTCAGCAGATCTGAAATTTGCTCAGTGCCTACTTTTTTTTGAGGGAACATTGGTGTAGACCTACTGTGAAATTAGTGCTACCTAATATTTGTTTCCCTCTTTTGGTCAGAGGGTAGGCCTAATACAATTTTTTGGGGGGCATGTATGAATGCTCCATATGAGCCTGTTTAACTGCTAACATGACAAACTTTCAATGAATAAATCCAATACTGTTGCAAATAGCTAATCAACGTACCAGATGAAATGTATAAAAACACCATTCTCCTCTGCAAGCTATCTTCATGAATAAAAAATACACACTTATTTGTTATACATCTTTTAATATTTCCCATTTATGGTCATAAAATATTTTCATGCATACACAGGAAGCCAGACAGAATCTTATGACAGATGTGCACATAACTGCCAAAGAAAGCATTGCTCTGGTTGCGTCCCAAATTGCACCCTTTTCCCTATACCTACAGTATTTATTAGTGCAATACTTTTGACCAGAGTCCTACGGGCCCTGTTCAAAAGTAGTGCACTACAGAGGCAATAGGGTGCCATTTGGGACACAACACCCATAATGAAAGACAATGGTAAGGAATTCTCTGCTGCTTGTTGAGAATGTATTGTTTCATTATTAGTGGGCTGAATGAGAGGGTGCTATGATGGACCTTCTCTCCATGCCTGGGCCCCCCACCTCCCCATAACCCACTCCCTCCTGTAAGAGTGTGCGTGCGTGTACGCGCGTCTGTGTATGGTACCGTTGGATGTAAGATTTGGCACTAACGTTCCTCTTTGACAGACCGTTTGTTAAAGGCCTTTAACGGCATTTCCATGGACACCATTAGGTTTAAATGATGGCATTTCCTGCTACATGGACTAATCTGGAATCTGTAGGAGAGAACAATGGTCATTAAAAGGTCATGTTTTTTCATGAATGTTAATCGCAAAGACAATTATGCTCTATAAAATGTGTGTAAAATATCATATGTAGGGCCCTTGCTTTTTTGAAATGTATAGCATCTTGCATGTTTATCAATTGTGGCTAATTTAGTGGGATCTGTCCTTTCTCTCCTTATTGGATATCATTTGTGAATATAAAATCAGTCAACCTGGGCGCTGGGTTTGTCGTCAACAAGCTCATTCAAGCTCATGCATGTGTAATGAAATGCACTCACTCACTGCGTACACCAATAATGTGCAATATTGAGATAATAGAGAAATGGGAGGAAAAGTAAGATAATATCATTGTTTAACTGTCAAATGCAGATATCATCATTGCGATAGCTAGTTATTTACAGTCACAAATTACTCGGTTAGTTTGAAAATAAACACCAAACAACAATATTCATTCACTTTTCTTTAAAAAAATAAAAGTACCAACTTTGACTTTCACGTTTTAAAATGCCTGTACCAACACAATGTACCATACTTGAATAAAACGACAGAACAAAATAACCAATGGGATGGTGTCCTATTAAACCGAATACAGAACCCAAAACTGTCATTAGCCACCATTCAATCAACCACTGTATCTTTCAACAATAGTTAGGTCACACTCTGAGTAAGGGGCATATTACAGCTAGCCTAAATACATCTGTATTTATGATAACACCTTTCATATGGAATTCCCTTAAAATGACATCACAGGCTTCCTGTACTGTATGTGCTTTATAGCCACTATTAAAGCAGTCCAAATCACATGCATACATACTACAAAATATACTTTACCATTTGCAAATTTATACATTAGCTGAGTTAATGAAATAGCACTCTAACTATTTACAACCCTTGGTTAGCATGTCGTCAGCACATGCTACATTAATAGTGCTTGTTCAAATAGGTAAGTTAGAAGCATTTGATATTCAAATTGTGCACATGATGGGTTAAATGTACAGTGCCTTGCAAAAGTATTCATCCCCCTTGGCGTTTTTCCTATTTTGTTGCATTACAACCTGTAATTTAAATGGATTTTTATTTGGATTTCATGTAATGGACATACACAAAATAGTCCAAATTGGTGAAGTGAAATGAAAATTATTAAAAAATTGAAAGAATATGGGACCACAACAAACCTGCCAAGAGAGGGCCGCCCACCAAAACTCACGGCCCAGGCAAGGAGGGCATTAATCAGAGGCAACAAAGAGACCAAAGATAACTCTGAAGGAGCTGCAAAGCTCCACAGTGGAGATTGGAGTATCTGTCCATAGGACCACTTTAAGGCATACACTCCACAGAGCTGGGCAGAAAAAGAGTGGCCAGAAAAAAGCCATTGTGTAAAGAAATTGAGCTTTTTGGCCATCGAGGAAAACGCTATGTCTGGCGCAAACCCAACACCTCTCATCACCCCGAGAACACCATCCCCACAGTGAAGCATGGTGGTGGCAGCATCATGCTGTGGGGATGTTTTTCATCGGCAGGGACTGGGAAACTGGTCAGAATTGAAGGATGGCGCTAAATACAGGGAAATCCTTGAGGGAAAGCTGTTTCAGTCTTCCAGAGATTTGAGACTGGGACGGAGGTTCACCTTCCAGCAGGACAATGACCCTAAGCATACTGCTAAAGCAACACTCTTTAAGGGGAAACATTTAAATGTATTGGAATGGCCTAGTCAAAGCCCAGACTTCAATCCAATTGAGAATCTGTGGTATGACTTAAAGATTGCTGTACAACAGCGGAACCCATCCAACTTGAAGGAGCTGGAGCAGTTTTGCCTTGAAGAATGGGCAAAAATCCCAGTGGCTAGATGTGCCAAGCTTATAGAGACATACCCCAAGAGACTTGCAGCTGTAATTGCTGCAAAAGGTGGCTCTACTAAGTATTGACTTTGGGGGGGGGTGAATAGTTATGCACGCTCAAGTTATCTGTTTTTTTGTCTTAATTCTTGTTTGTTTCACAACAAAAAATATTTTGCATCTTCAAAGTGGTAGGCATGTTGTGTAAATCAAATGATACAAACCCCAAAGAAATCCATTTTAATTCCAGGTTGTAAGGCAACAAAATAGGAAAAATTCCAAGGGGGTTGAATACTTTCGCAAGCCACAGTATGTATGATGTTGTTGTTGCTATAAGCTCTGTACAGAAGCAGTAGCATAATGTTTTTTGACACTTTGTGCTTTAAAATAATTTTCTACCATATCAATACAGACCATATGCGTACCTACATTAGGGTAAGCAGAAACATAAACACGCCGTACAAACACATATTATACACCTTGATCAATACAGCTGCATTAACACACACCGTTTTGCTGTTGCATATTGTCACATTGAGCGAATACAAGTATTTTAAATACATTTTGAATCATGTGAAGAAATATCTAAAAGAAAAACAACTGAGTTGAACAATTCACACAAGAAATCACACAATAAATCACAGCAACATTGATAGATATGTTTGTCTTTTGTTTGAACGAATAAATCCTTTAAAAAAAGTCTGGATTATTTATGAGTACCTTTTCTACTTTATTACCATGGTAACCCACTTATTCCTCTTTATTACCATGGTAACCCACTTATTCCTCTGTTTATCCTATGTACAGAACAAAACCTTTTCAAGTTTCCCTCATAAACAGACACTTCCTGATATCCCTTAAAATCACACAATGACCCACCATCTTCAAATAAATAGGAATTTGATTTTTTTTAAAGGTTGACATGTAAATAAAATAAACAATGTTTTAGAAACTAAAAAAGCTGTTCCATTTAGAGTTCAGCCGTCTAAACTGCCTGACTTGAGGCTACTTATTTCACAATAGTATGTAAGTACACATGTCTATCGTATCTCTGATTTATCATGATGTTCTGAATGAAACGTGGCACTAGGAAGGGAGAACGGATGATATAAAAAGTGACACTACATTGTGGGGAAACATTCTACTCATACCTTTATAAGTGCCTTATAGAACGACATTATGGCACAAAGAATCATTGGTGTTCAATCACAAGGCACTGACAAAGAGTCACTGGCCAGTCTGCTTGTCACCAGCCTTATAAAATTAACTCAATTTGTAATGACTGGTTATAAATGCCTAGAAATGTACTATTTTATGGTCTGATGAAGTGATTATGATGGTGATGGATAATGTAGCAATAATGTCCTTTCCCTTCCCTTCCCACATTGATAGCAGTCGTTGATAATGTAGCTAACCTTCAATCTTCAGTGATGTGATGTGCACCATGATAAAGAGTGAGAAGCCGAGTTGAAGTGACATAAAAAAGTGGACGGATGCCAATAACTTGGAAACGGGCGGTGATTTCATAGTTCAGATACTGATATGATAGCACCCCGAGTACGTACATTGTAATTTAAGGGCACCATGAATTTATGATGGAGAGTTAAGATTATAGCTAGTTCAATCAGATATCGCTGGGCGGTGGGCACACCCAAACTGCACTGAGGGGGTAGTGGGCGGAAACCCTGAATTGGTGATGATGGGCGGTAGGGTTGAAGGTTGAAGTTCAGAGCTCTGAGGTGGTGTCCCTGTCATCAGGGCTGCTGGGTAAAGTTGAGGCTAGTAGTGAGGCTAATGGCTGGGGTTGAGGGTGAGGCTAGGAGTTAGGTTAACTGCTTGGGTAAAGGTTGAGGCTAGGAGTTAGGCTAATGGCTGGGGTTGAGGCTAGGAGTTAGGCTAATGGCTGGGGTTGAGGGTGAAGCTAGGAGTTAGGCTAATGTCTGGGGTTGAGGGTGAGGCTAGGAGTTAGACTAACTGCTGGGGTTGATGGTGAGACTAGGAGTTAGGCTAATGACTGGGGTTGAGGGTGAGGCTAGGAGTTAGGCTAATGGCTGGGCTTGAGGGTGAGGCTAGGAGTTAGGCTAACTGCTGGGGTTGAGGTTGAGGCCCCATAGGCTCAGATTTAGGCCCCTCACTGTAGCTGTACTCCCCAGTTAGAGACGGGAACTCTCCCTGTTCAGGCCCAGCTCATCTACACTCTCATAGTCTGGCTCCTGAACCTGGTTCCTTAGCCCCAAGTCCTCTCCACTACCAGTCTTAGTGAGGCAGATGTTCTCGTAGCCCGGGTCGATGCTCTCCGCAGGGGGATCCTGGAGGTCCCCAGGGGGTCGCTGGGGGTCTGACTCCCCCTCTCCGAGCTGGGGGTAGATGTCCCTGAGAGTAGCGTAGAGATCACTGGAGGACGACTCAGGGACCAGACCCTTGATCTCTGCGATGCTGCTGTAGTCACTCTCCTTCTCCTCCACGTCTAGGTGTGTCTTCCTCACCGTGGAGTACATGTCTGACAGCTGGAGAGAAAGAGGGATGAGAGAGTGAGAGAGAGCAAGCGTGAGAGAGAGCAAGCGTGAGAGAGAGCAAGAGTGAGAGAGAGCAAGAGTGTGAGAGAGAAAGAGTGAGAGAGAGCAAGAGAGCGAGCGAGCGAGAGAGGAGAGGATGCAGTCAGTGTGAGCATCGAAGGACTATTTGATTTATGTATCCTTTATTCAACCAGGGAAGTCACAGTGAGACTGACATCTCTTTTTCAGTTGATCCCTGTATAAGCATCAGGACAATAGGGGAATGAGTTCAGTGGAAAGTCACAACCCTACCTCGTTCTCTGACAGCACATGGTTGTGTAGCCCCGGTGAGGGAGAGAGCGGAGAGTGCAACTAGAAGAGAAAACAACAAAAACAAGTTCACGCTTTACAATATAAAATAACCATGTGTGTTGTGCATACTCGCACGTGAGCTAAGCAGGTGTATATTATGTAGTCAATCATTTATGAACAACATTACTGATTAATCAGTTAATACACAATGAGAATTGTAGCGATGTTATTGGGTATAGCTGCTACATACAGTCCCTTATGATCGATGGAGTCATTAATCAACAACACATAGCTGACAGACATAAAAAAAACACCTCTCTGGGGTGTCTGAAGAGAACGTCAATATCAGAGTTGGTACGGTAGCTAGCTGGCTACTATTTCAAGCCTACTATAGGTTGGGTGTACTGAGGATTAAGCCTGTTTTAAAATCCATTGTTCACTTGGTCAAGGTCATATAAGATGTAAATCTTGAGTTGGACAAACCAAGGTTAACCAATGACTTTACACGGGGACTGGTGAGGATTGATGGTTGGATTACTTGAATGTAGAACCAGAAAGGGTTGACCACCACCATCTATATTCATCATCATCTATATTCAGCATCAATCAGCATCATCTATATTCATCATCTTCTATATTCAGCATCATCTCTCCATCTATATTCAGCATCATCTCTCCATCATCTCTCCATCAATAATCAGCATTATCTCTCCATCAATATTCAGCATCATCTCTCCATCTATATTCAGCATCATCTCTCCATCTATATTCAGCATCATCTCTCCATCTATATTCAGCATCATCTCTCCATCTATATTAAGCATCATCACTCTGTCACGCCCTGACTCAAGGGACTTGTATTTGTTGAGTCAGGGTGTGTATTTTCTGTGTTGGGTTTTTCTATGTTTAGTTTCTAGATCGTTTAGATCTATGTTGGCCAGGGTGGTTCCCAATCAGAGGCAGCTGTAGCTCGTTGTCTCTGATTGGGGCCCATACTTAGGTAGCCGGTTGGCACTAGTGGGTTGGGGGATCTTTTTTCAGTGTGAGGTATGTTATTTTGTCTACCTTGGACTTCACGTTTCGTTTGTTGTTTTGGTTGTGCGTTTATTTCTTAAATAAACATGAATGCATATCACGCTGCGCCTTGGTCCGTCTCGTTCATGAACGACCGTGACACACTCCAACATCTCTCCATCTACATTCAGCATCTCCATCATCTCTCCATCTATATTCAGCATCATCTCTCCATCAATATTCAGCATAATCTCTCCATCTATATTCAGCATCATCAATCCATCATCGCTCCATCTATATTCAGCATCATCTCTTCATCTATATTCAGCATCATCTCTCATCAATATTCAGCATTATCTCTCCATCTATATTCAGCATAATCTCTCCATCATCTCTCCATCAATATGCAGCATAATCTCTTCATCTATATTCAGCATCTCTCCATCATCTCTCCATCTATCTTCAGCATTTCTCCATCATCTCTCCATCTATATTCAGCCTCCCTCCATCATCTCTCCATCTATATTCAGCATCTCTCCATCATCTCTCCATCTATATTCAGCATCTCTCCATCATCTCTCCATCTATATTCATCATCTCTCCATCTATATTCAGCATCTCTCCATCTATATTCAGTATCTCTCCATCATCTCTCCATCTATATTCAGTATCTCTCCATCATCTCTCCATCTATATTCAGCATCTCTCCATCATCTCTCCTTTGTTTCTGTCTCAGAGAGCATTGAATCGATATGCTTACTTTATGGACACACATTATTTTGGCTTAATTAGCAAACCAATTCATTTGATTGCCTTGGAGCCCAGTGGTGTCGAATCATGAAGACAAGTTCTTGACCCTGTCATCAACGAGCCTCCGTGTGTCTCTCATAATATTAGTTTGTTCTAATTCAGTGTCTCTAAAGTCTTCGTCCATGTAGCTTTACAAATTAAAGTGCCAGTCCAGTTAAGTAAGTAGTTTCATGACTACAACCAGGAGTTGTTCCTGACTACACGACTTGACCAGGAAAAAATTGGTTCCTAGATATACCAGCCAAGTAATTTGTCCTGACCATATTACAGCTGGAAACTAGGGCCCAGAGTTGTTCTTTGTCAGGTCAGGTCTCTTTTATGGTCAGGAAAAACTATGAAAGTATGAAAAGTGTGCATGTTAAGACATTCCTTGACTCAGGTAAGATGTCTTCTAGATAAGAATGTACACTATATATACGAAAGTATGTGGACAACCCTTCAAATTAGTGGATTCGGCTATTTCAGCCACACTCGTTGCTGACAAGTGTATAAAATCGAGCACACCGCCAAGCAATCTCCATAGACAAACATTGGCAGTCGAATGGCCTTACTGAAGAGCTCAGTGACTTAACGTGGCACCGTCATAAAATGCCAACTTTCCAACAAGTCAGTTCGTCAAATTTCTGCCCTGCTAGAGCTGCCCCGGTCAACTGTAAGTTCTGTTTTTGTGAAGAGGAAACGTCTAGGAGCAACAACGGCTCAGCCGCGAAATGGTAGACCACATAAGCTCACAGAACGGAACCGCCGAGTGCTGAGGCGTGTAGCGCGTAAAATTCGTCTGTCCTCGGTTGCAACACTCCGAGTTCCAAACTGCCTCTGGAAGCAACGTCAGCACAAGAACTGTTCGTCGGAAGCTTCATGAAATAGGTTTCCATGGCCGAGCAGCCGCACACAAGCCTAAGATCACCATGCGCAATGCCAAGCGTCGACTGAAGTGGTGTAAAGCTCGCTGCCATTGGACTCTGGAGCAGTGGAAATGCGTTTTCTGGAGTGATGAATCACACTTCACCATCAGGCAGTCCGATGGACAAATCTGGGTTTGGCGGATGCCAGGAGAACGCTATCTGCCCCAATGCATAGTGCCAACTGTAAAGTTTGGTGAAGAAGAAATAATGGTCTGGGGCTGTTTTTCATGGATTGCGCTAGGCCCCTTAGTTCCAGTGAAGGGAAATCTTCTGTGGCAACAATTTGGGGAAGGCCTTTTCCTGTTTCAGCATGACAATGCCCCCGTGCACAAAGCGAGGTCCATACAGAAATGGTTTGTCGAGATGGGTGTGGAAGAACTTGACTGGCCTGCAAAGAGCCCTGACCTCAACCCCATCGAACACCTTTGGGATTTATTGAAATGCCGACTGCGAGCCAGGCCTAATCGACCAACATCAGTGCCCAACCTCACTAATGCTCTTGTGGCTGAATGGAAGCAAGTCCCCGCAGCAATGTTTCAACATCTAGTGGAAAGCCTTCCCAAAAGAGTTGAGGCTGTTTGTCACGCACGTTGACTGATGACTCGTGGAACCAAGGCGCAGCGTAATAAGCGTACATTTTATTTAGTACACAACACACGAACAAAACAACAAAACGAACGATACGTGAAGTCCTGAGGTTACAACAACGCAAACCTTTACGGAACAAGATCCCACAACCTAACTGGTGCTAACAGGCTGCCTAAGTATGGTCCCCAATCAGAGACAACGAGCTACAGCTGCCTCTGATTGGGAACCACCCTGGCCAACATAGATCTAAACGATCTAGAACAAAAAACATAGAAAACTAAACATAGAAAAATCCACACCCTGGCTCAACATTTAAGAGTCCCCAGAGCCAGGGCGTGACAGTACCCCCCCCCCCCCAAAGGCGCGGACTGCGACCGCGCCACACAAACACAAGAGGGTAGGGGCCGGGTGGGCATTCCGCCTCGGAGGCGGATCCGGCTCCGGGCGTGACCACCACCTTTTCTCCACCTCCCCGTTGCGCCCCTGGTCTGGTCTGGTCCCGCTGACTGGAGCTGGACCCGACGACGGTGGACCAAACCTTACCGGCTCCGGACTGGAGCCGCTGGCCGGAGCTGGACTGGACACCGGTGGAGCGGATTGCTCTGGCTCCGGAGTGGATCCGCTGACTGGAGTTGGACCGGACCCCGGTGGAGCGGATTGCTCTGACTCCGGAGTGGAACAGGCACGGGCCGTGCCGGACTGGACACACGCACCACTGGCTTGGCGCGGGGAGCAGGAACGGGCCGGACCGGGCTGACGACGCGCACCACTGGCTTGGTGCGGGGAGCAGGAACGGGCCGGACCGGGCTGACGACGCGCACCACAGGCTTGGTGCGGGGAGCAGGAACAGGCCGGACCGGGCTGGCGACGCGCACCACTGGCTTGGTGCGGGGAGCAGGAACAGGCCGGACCGGGCTGCCGACCGGGCTGGCTTGGTGCGGGGAGCCGGAACGGGCCGGGCCGGACTGTGGAGGCGGACTGGAGGTCTGGAGCGGAGAGCTGACACAACCCGTCCTGGCTGAATGCCTATTTCCACACAATATGTGTGAGGCATCAGCACAGGACGTACAGGGCTGTGCACTCGTACTGGCGCTACAGCACGTGGCACTGGCTCAGGACATACGGGACCGAGGAGGTGTACTGGAGGCCACGAGCGTTGAGCCGGCACACCCCGTCCTGGCTGCATGCCCTTCTTAGCACGACACGTGCGTGGTGCTAGCACCGGACGTACAGGACTGTGCCGGAACACTCGCGGCACAGTACGTGGCTCCGCATAACTCGGAGCCTGCCCAGTCTCACGCTTCCTAGCCTGAGTACGGGGAGTTGGCTCTGCTCTAACTCTAGGCTCCGCCAACCAGCCTTTTAGCCCCCCCCAAAACAATTATTGGGGCTGTCTCTCGGGCTTCCTCCTCGGCCGGTACCCTCTGCGATGCCGCTGCTCCTCTCTGTAGCGCGCCTCCACAGTCTCCTCCCAAGGACGGCGATCCATTCCGGCCTGAATCTCTTCCCAAGTCCAGGATCCCTTCCCGTCCAGGATCTCCTCCCAAGTCCAGGCTGTCTGTTCCTGGTCACGCTGCTTGGTCCTCTTTAGGTGGGATCTTCTGTCACGAACGTTGACTGATGACTCGTGGAACCAAGGCGCAGCGTGATAAGCGTACATTTTATTTAGTACACAACACACGAACAAAAACAACAACAAAACAACAAAAACTAAACATAGAAAAATCCACACCCTGGCTCAACATTTAAAAGTCCCCAGAGCCAGGGCGTGACACTGTTATAGCAGCAAAGGGGGGACCAACTCCATATTAATGCCCATGATTTTGGAATTAGATGTTCGACAAGCAGGTGTCCACATACTTCTGGTCATGTAGTGTATCAAGGCAGTTTGGGGTATGGTCTGACAGACAGGACATCTACTATGAGGCTGATGATGGAGGACTGAAGTCTAACATGCCAACGCGTCAGTCAGTCAGCCAGAGAATATGTGGTTTGGTTTCACATGGGTACACAAACACACACACACCAAATAAAATAAAGCTCCTTCCCTTTGGCAACAGACAACTTGACTGTTGACATGCTGAATATCACAGTTTATCTAAGAAAATGCCCCCTGGTGTACATCACACTAGTGACTGGCAAGGTCAATTACATTTTGTCAGTGTAGATCAGAAGCTTGTAAGGTCACGGGCAACACAAAGTCCAATTATTCCAGACAACTGAACAGAGTAATTTCTGTTTATTATGGCTCAACAGCTGTATTACAGAGCAGGAGAGGATATTGTGTGTGTCGTGTGTGTGTGTGTGTGTGTGTGTGTGTGTCGTGTGTGTGTGTGTGTGTGTGTGTGTGTGTGTGTGCGCGCTGAGGGACTACCTAAGGGAGAACCTCTCAGACGTAAACACGCAGATGTCTTCCAGTGTACACACACACTGAGTGTCATCCGTCATCTGCCTGGTCTGTCGGACTGATAGTGTGCAGGCTCTCCTCTCCTCTCTACTCCCTCTCCTTCCCTCTCCTCTCTTTCCATCTCCTCTCTACTCCATCTCCTTCCCTCTCCTCTCTACTCCATCTCCTTCCCTCTCCTCTCTACTCCATCTCATTCCCTCTCCTCTCTACTCCATCTACTTCCCTCTCCTCTCTTTTCCCCTGTCTCCTCCTCTCCCCCTCTCTTCTTCTCCTCTCCGCAGCGCCGTAACAAAGACACCCACCTCCTCTCCTCTCCTCTCCTCCACTCTAATCTGCATACATTACCATACACATTACGGTCTGACAAGACAAATCACCAGCCAACACCAGTCACACCGCCACCGAGAATAAAGAACATTTCGGGTTAACCTTAAATCAGCCCCAGGGTGTCTGCAAATGTGTGTGTGTCCATACAATTCCGTCCGTGCGTGTGTAATATGGAGGTTGTAAAAATAAAAGTGGGGGTAGAGGCGCAGTGAGGAGAATTAATGCTGACTCCACATTCCAACACGGGGGGACGCAATAGGAACAGGCTTTGGGGGTGCAGGTGGCCCAGCGCAGCCCTGCGGTTGGTTCAATATTTCATCATATAGTAGGGAGCCAGAGGGTCAAGCTGGGCTAGGCGTCACCTGCTGTCCAATACTACACTTTTATTACTGATCAGCTAATTGTTTGGAGCTTCAGAGACAAAGGAAGGTTGCTAGGAGAAAAGCCACAAAGGAGGGTTAGACAGACATGGCTGTGTGCGAGTGAGTGTGTGTGTTGGGAGGGGGGGGTTGTAGTTTGGGTATGTGTGTGTGCGTGCATGTGTGTACGTGTATGTGTTTGCGTGCACGTGTGTGTGTGGGTGTGGGTGTGGGTGTGGGTGTGTGCACTTTGTTTTATTACGGGCAACAAGTTCAGTACACATCACTGCATTCTTTACCAGAAAGTAGGCTGGCCCTCTTTGAAGTCACGTACAGTGGGGAGAACAAGTATTTGATACACTGCCGATTTTGCAGGTTTTCCTACTTACAAAGCATGTAGAGGTCTGTAATTTTTATCATAGGTACACTTCAACTGTGAGAGACGGAATCTAAAACAAAAATCCAGAAAATCACATTTATAAGTAATTAATTTGCATTTTATTGCATGACATAAGTATTTGATCAACTACCAACCAGTAAGAATTCCGTCTCTCACAGACCTGTTAGTTTTTCTTTAAGAAGCCCTCCTGTTCACCACTCATTACCTGTATTAAATGCACCTGTTTGAACTCGTTACCTGTATAAAATAGCCGGCCGCGACCGGGAGACCCATGGGGCGGCGCACAATTGGCCCAGCGTCGTCCAGGATAGGGGAGGGAATGGCCGGCAGGGATGTAGCTCAGTTGGTTGAGCATGGTGTTTGCAACGCCAGGGTTGTGGGTTCAATTCCCAAGGGGGGCCAGTAATAAAAAAAAAATATATATATAAAATAGAATAATGTATGCACTCACTAACTGTAAGTCGCTCTGGATAAGAGCGTCTGCTAAATGACTCAAATGAAATGAATGAAATGAATGAAATGAATAAAAGGCACCTGTCCACACACTCAATCAAACAGACTCCAACCTCTCCACAATGGCCAAGACCAGAGAGCTGTGTAAGGACATCAGGGATAAAATTGTAGACCTGCACAAGGCTGGGATGGGCTACAGGACAATAGGCAAGCAGCTTGATGAGAAGGCAACAACTGGAAGAAAATGGAAGAAGTTCAAGATGACGGTCAATCACCCTCGGTCTGGGGCTCCATGCAAGATCTCACCTCGTGGGGCATCAATGATCATGAGGAAGGTGAGGGATCAGCCCAGAACTACACGGCAGGACCTGGTCAATGACCTGAAGAGAGCTGGGACCACAGTCTCAAAGAAAACCATTAGTAACACACTACGCCGTCATGGATTAAAATCCTGCAGCGCACGCAAGGTCCCCCTGCTCAAGCCAGCGCATGTCCAGGCCCGTCTTGTCAGTAGTTCCGATGTGGATGTGGTGGAGGAGTCAGGCGCAGGACACAGAGGATAAGTCCAAAATACTTTAATAGTCCAAAGAGCAACAAACAAAACACGACCTCGAAAACAGACGGAGGCGAGGCAATTACGCAAACACGCGTAAACAATAATCCCAAACAAAGACAGAGTGCAGACACGCAGCTCTGCACGACAGGCAGAAAATAACAACACACAATCAGACTAATGCAAAACAAGGAACTTATAAGACAAGTAATCAACACACAAATGGACACAGGTGTAAAAGACAGACAAAAGCAATCACACTACGAAACATAGAGCGGTGGCAGCTAGTACTCCGGGGACGGCGAACGCCGAAGCCTGCCCGAACCAGGAGCAGTCTCGGCAGAATCCGTGACACGTCTGAAGTTTGCCAATGACCATCTGGATGATCCAGAGGAGGAATGGGAGTAGGTCATGTGGTCTGATGAGACAAAAATAGAGCTTTTTGGTCTAAACTCCACTCGCCGTGTTTGGAGGAAGAAGAAGGATGAGTACAACCCCAAGAACACCATCCCAACCGTGAAGCATGGAGGTGGAAACATCATTCTTTGGGGATGCTTTTCTGCAAAGGGGACAGGACGACTGCACCGTATTGAGGGGAGGATGGATGGGGCCATGTATCGCAAGATCTTGGCTAACAACCTCCTTCCCTCAGTAAGAGCATTGAAGGTGGGTCGTGGCTGGGTCTTCCAGCATGACAACGACCTGAAACACACAGCCAGGGCAACTAAGGAGTGGCTCCGTAAGAAGCATCTCAAGGTCCTGGAGTGGCCTAGCCAGTCTCCAGACCTGAACCCAATAGAAAATCTTTGGAGGGAGCTGAAAGTCCGTATTGCCCAGCGACAGCCCCGAAACCTGAAGGATCTGGAGAAGGTCTGTATGGAGGAGTGGGCCAAAATCCCTGCTGCAGTGTGTGCAAACCTGGTCAAGACCTACAGGAAACGTATGATCTCTGTAATTGCAAACAACGGTTTCTGTACCAAATACTAAGTTCTGCTTTTCTGATGTATCAAATACTTATGTCATGCAATAAAATGCAAATTATTTACTTAAAAATCATACAATGTGATTTTCTGGATTTTTGTTTTAGATTCCGTCTCTCACAGTTGAAGTGTACCTATGATAAAGATTACAGACCTCTACATGCTTTGTAAGTAGGAAAACCTGCAAAATAGGCAGTGTATCAAATACTTGTTCTCCCCACTGTAGGTTGATTCATCGCTCTCTTTTTATTTATAAAGCTCTCTCACAAAAACTCCCGGCGTACCTAACTTCATTAATAACCTTTAGATCTCTCTCTTCTCGGGATCCTAATCGAGCGGTAGAGGGAGTCTCCTTTCCCATTGTTCTCTTCCTACTCCAACTTGAGGCTGAGGCCAGAGCAAAGGATGCAAATCACTATCTTGTGAATCAATGCATCTAGTATTGTGAGGAATCCTTAGAGCTGTCGTCCTACTGTCTTGTTTACTCCATTTTTCTGTCACACACATTGGCTTACACAAACACAGACAACCATCCTCACCTCTCCGTTGTGAAGTGCGGCCCCCATTACCACCACCCCTCCTGCGTCCATCATGGTAGGCTGGTTGTCATTCTCATCCAGCACCTTGTCAGGTACAGGCGGGGGTCTCTCCTCCTCCTCCTCGGGCTCCTCTGTGGGGCTCACAGCAGCAGCGATGGTGGCTGAGCGCCTGGCCTCCAGATCTGCACTGTAACGGCTCTTCTTGTTCAGATCCACCGAGGCGTACTCCACTCCCGCGCACAGGGGCCCCCGCTCCGGGGTGCTGCAGGGGCTGAGGTGGCCGTTGTGGAGGGCTGGACGTTGGTGGGAAAGTGGTAGGTGGTTGTGGAGGTGGTGAGGGTCGTCACCGGGGCTGAGGGGGGACGTAGTACCGTGTCCATTGGGTAGACCTACAGCCAGGCTGCCGGGATGGTCCTTCAGCTCTTTGACAGTCTCGTACAGGGAGTCTTCAATGCTCACGTCACGGGACGCCGTCAAGACGCCGCCTCTCTCCTTCACCACCTAGTTTAGTTGATTGAGACAGCCGTCAGTACATTAGGACTAATCTTCCTGGGTTTCTACTCCAACACATAATAGACAACACAATTCAGTACAAGTACACAATAAACACAAGAGGACTCATTCCAATAAGTAGCTGTATAAATACATAGGAACAACAACAGCATGAATCCCTAAAACCTCGTAGGTGCCGTCTCCAGAGACAGGTAGAGGGGGTCCGCTGGAGGATCCCATACCCTCCAGGGCGTTGTTGGGTGGGATGCTGGGCAGCTCGCGGTCCTGGGGACACTTGGAGCTCCGCAGCTCTGACTGGCTGGACAGCATCTCCTCAGAGGGCTGGGGACTGCTGTCCTGGGTGTCTGTCAACACTGGGAGAGGATGGATCAATCAAATTGAATCTTTTTTTTTTTTTTAGATGAGTTGGGTTGGGTTGAGTTTCATTTAAATTAATTGGACACAACAAAGGGGGAGTGTGTGGGTGGGTGGTTATGCCGGGTTAACAGAGAGAGAGTTTGAGAATGGAGGCCTTAATCTTAAACAACATTGCATCTTTGAAAGCTGCAGTGGACAATTTGGACTAGTTAGCCTGCTCATTCACATATCTTGTTTGCGCTTTAGCCAACTCCTTTGTGGTTTGTTGTCATGCCAGAAGGCCTATAGCCAACAGTATAACTGGCTACAACACAAACTGATCTGTTACCAGACTATAATTGGAACACATCTCATGGACTAGATAGCCACAGGTGTGGAAGCAAAATGAATAATCAAGCAAGTGTGTAAAGTGAAGGTTAAATGTAGATGTAATAATGTATGCTGAATGAATATTCCACTCTCTGAAACGGCGACAAACAAACAACACGTGCAGAAGAAGTCATTGTGTGTGTGTTACCTGTACCACTGGTTAGTGGGCCGTTGTGTGAACTGCTCACCACTAGGTCAGTCCCTGGGCTGTCCACAGACTGACTACCGGTAAACGTCTCTCTCTCAGACACCTGTACAATAGTGACAAGGACTAGGTTAGGATGGGTCTATGTGGCTTAATATAGACAGAGATCTGGGATCAGTTTACCCTACCCTAAATCCCTATGTGGTCCTGTGTGGCTCAGTTAGTACACATACAAAAAACATATGCACTCACTGTACTATAAGTCACTTTGGATAAAAACATCTGCTAAGTGGAGCCAAATACATTACACATACATTAAATCAGTGTCAACAAACTCTAATGAGAAAATCTAATATATTTACACTTTAACTCATATTAACATCATGACATTGTGGGGGGAGAAACGGGCATTGAGCTAGCAGCCACTGCAGGCCTTTGTTTGTTGTTTTTCAGACACCTCACTGATAGAAAACCAAATGAGGCAGTGAGATATAGCTCTATAGCACCTTGTAGTGGCTGTGTCTGGTAATGACTGTTGCTAGGCTGAATCTGATGGCGTTAGCGGTGCAGCACTTCGCCTGTGGAGGACAAGACAAAGCCCCTATTTAACCCGTCACTCTGTGACAGACACTCCACTGTTTAAGTGAAGTCCTCTTCAATATTTTCACAGGCGAGGCTCTACATTACGGCGTAAAGGTTACTCTCCAGATATCCAATCCATCAGTTAAAAAGGTTTCCACATCCCCGGAGGTGTGAGCCGAGCGAGTGTGACAGCATGTGGTTGGAATGAAAGGAGGATGTCAGTTTATCTCTGAAAGAGAGATATTTATCTCACTTAATCACCCCTTGTAAGTGTAATGTGTTCGTTACTATAGCTAATGCCCAAACCCCACCTCTTTAAGGAATACCTGGGATAGGATAAAGTAATCCTTCTACCCCTCCCTTCCCCCCCCCCAAAAAAAAAACAAAACATTGTAAAGTGGTTATCCCACTGGCTATAAGGTGAATGCACCAATTTGTAAGTCGCTCTGGATAAGAGCGTCTGCTACATGACGTAAATGTAAATGTAAATGTAATGGTTCTCATCATCATGGAATAGCTGTGGATAGTGTAATAATTAATAATATGCACTCAGAATCCCATTGAAATAAACAGTTTACTATGCAATTAATATGCTAACTTGTGAACTTGTGAAAGAAAAGGTGAATTCAATACTGTGGCTCTGAAAATACAAATTCTTCTCTGAGAACATTACAGTTTATATAAAGATACTGCAGACCGATGTGGAAGTCACATTGTTTCCAGACCAGAGTACACAGAGTGTGTGTGTGTGTGTTGAAGTGATAGAGCGAGAGAGTGTGTCGGAGTAAATATTTTGACTGTATTTATCACATTAAACGAATACTCCTTCCCCGTTCTGGAATTCATGTCTCCCTTCTGTCCATTCCTTCCCGAATAATGTTGACCTCTGAACTCTTGACCTGGGTCATCCTCCCTCCCATTCTGCACCACACTTAGACAAAGGAGTGAATGGCCCTCGCTCTGTCCCTCGCTCTGTCCCTCGCTCTGTCCCTCGCTCTGTCCCTCTGTCTCTCGCTCTGTCCCTCACTCTCTCCCTCGCTCTGTCCTCTCTCTCTCCCTCTCTCTCTCCCCCTCTCTCTGTCCCTCTCGCTCCCCCCATCTTCCTCTCTATCGCGAGCTCTCTCCCCCTCTCTCTGTCCCTCTCTCCCCTCTCTCTCCCCCTCTCTCTCTCCCCCTCTCTCTGTCCCTCTCTCTCTGTCCCTCTCTCTCTGTCCCTCTCTCTGTCCCTCTCTCTTCCCCTCTCTCTGTCCCTCTCTTCTCCCCCTCTCTCTGTCCCTCTCTCTCTCCCCATCTTCCTCTCCCTCTCGCTCCCCCCTTCTTCCTCTCTATCGCGAGCTCTCTCTCCACCTCCCTGTGGTCATTATGGATGCTAATGTGACTGCCTCAGGCTTGACACCCCCTGACACCCAGAGAGAGAGACACACACACGCTTGCATGCACACAGGCAAATGCACAAATGCACACACAAACAGCTTCACAACTCACAGCCGTTGTCTCCTCTCCAAGAGTCTAACCCAGGCAGACACCAACCCACCCACTCAACCCTTCTGCTAGCTAGACAAGTTGTCTCTGACATGTTCTCTCCCTTGTTTTCATTGACTAACCCTGTGATGATCAACGTTTTCACAAGCCCAACCCTCAGTCACTGAAGTGTCGAGAGGAACGTCTGACAGAAAATGAAAGGAGAGATATACACTGTAGCAGACTAACTTCTACTTGCTGTTTTAAGTGAAGGAAGCGAGGGAACGCTTTAAAAGAGGGAAAAGAGGAAAGAAAAGAGGACTACTTCAGACAGACTCACTCCATTCATGAGGTTCTCATGGTCTCCTGGGTGGCCATTGGATTTATTTTGCCTGGAGAAGAAGAAGGAAGAAGGAAGATGGTGATTAAAACTTTGACTTTGTCTCTGAAGCCTCTGAACTACAGTATACAGTCTGCAGAAGACTCTAATAATGCAGTCACCCAACTGTGCTGGTCTGTCTGCCGGTACCAAAGTAAGAATGTGATCAATAAACTATTAGTTAGCGCCTCCCGAGTGGCGCAGCGGTCCAAGGCGTCACTACAGACCCGGGTTCGATCCCAGGCTGTGTTAAATAAAGGTTAACCAGTTAAATAAAGGTGAAATAAAAAAGATATAAAAATTGCTGGCCGTGACCGGGAGACCCGTGAAGCGCCGCACAATTGGCCCAGCGTCGTCCGGGTTAGGGGAGGGTTTAGCAGGGATTTCCTTGTCCCATCGTGCTCTAGTGACTCCTTGTGGCGGGCCGGGCGCCTGCAAGCTCACTTCGATCGCCAGCAGGACGGTGTTTCCTCCGACACATTGGTGTGGCTGGCACTCGGGTTAAGCGAGCAGCGTGTCAAGAAGCAGTGCGGCTTGTCAGGGTTGCGTTTCGGAGGACACATGGCTCTCAACCTTCGCCTCTCCCGAGTCCATAGGGGAGTTGCAGCGATGGGACAAGACTAACTACCAATTGGGGAGAAAAGTAAATTTTTTATATAAAATAATAATATATATACAGTGAGGGGAAAAAAGTATTTGATCCCCTGCTGATTTTGTATGTTTGCCCACTGACAAAGAAATGATCAGTCTATAATTTTAATGGTAGGTTTATTTGAACAGTGAGAGACAGAATAACAACAAAAAAATCCAGAAAAATGCATGTCAAAAATGTTATAAATTGATTTGCATTTTAATGAGGGAAATAAGTATTTGACCCCCTCTCAATCAGAAAGATTTCTGGCTCCCAGGTGTCTTTTTTACAGGTAACGAGCTGGATTAGGAGCACACTCTTAAAGGGAGTGCTCCTAATCTCAGCTTGTTACCTGTATAAAAGAGACCTGTCCACAGAAGCAATCAATCAATCAGATTCCAAACTCTCCACCATGGCCAAGACCAAAGAGCTCTCCAAGGATGTCAGGGACAAGATTTTAGACCTACACAAGGCTGGAATGGGCTACAAGACCATTGCCAAGCAGCTTGGTGAGAAGGTGACAACAGTTGGCGCGATTATTTGCAAAATAACTGTCAATCTCCCTCGGCCTGGGGCTCCACGCAGGATCTCACCTCGTTGAGTTGCAATGATCATGAGAACGGTGAGGAATCAGCCCAGAACTACACGGTAGGATCTTGTCAATGATCTCAAGGCAGCTGGGACCATAGTCACCAAGAAAACAATTGGTAACACACTACGCCGTGAAGGACTGAAATCCTGCAGGGCCCACAAGGTCCCCCTGCTCAAGAAAGCACATATACATGCCCGTCTGAAGTTTGCCAATGAACATCTGAATGATTCAGAGGAGAACTGGGTGAAAGTGTTGTGGTCAGATGAGACCAAAATCGAGCTTTTTGGCATCAACTCAACTCGCCGTGTTTGGAGGAGGAGGAATGCTGCCTATGACCCCAAGAACACCATCCCCACCGTCAAACATGGAGGTGGAAACATTATGCTTTGGGGGTGTTTTTCTGCAAAGGGGACAGGACAACTTCACCGCATCAAAGGGACGATGGACGAGGCCATGTACCGTCAAATCTTGGGTGAGAACCTCCTTCCCTCAGCCAGGGCATTGAAAATGGGTCGTGGATGGGTATTCCAGCATGACAATGACCCAAAACACACGGCCAAGGCAACAAAGGAGTGGCTCAAGAAGAGCACATTAAGGTCCTGGAGTGGCCTAGCCAGTCTCCAGACCTTAATCCCATAGAAAATCTGTGGAGGGAGCTGAAGGTTCGAGTTGCCAAACGTCAGCCTCGAAACCTTAATGACTTGGAGAAGATCTGCAAAGAGGAGTGGGACAAAATCCCTCCTGAGATGTGTGCAAACCTGGTGGCCAACTACAAGAAACATCTGACCTCTGTGATTGCCAACAAGGGTTTTGCCACCAAGTACTAAGTCATGTTTTGCAGAGGGGTCAAATACTTATTTCCCTCATTAAAATGCAAATCAATTTATAACATTTTTGACATGCGTTTTTCTGGATTATTTTGTTGTTATTCTGTCTCTCACGGTTCAAATAAACCTACCATTAAAATGATAGACTGATCATTTCTTTGTCAGTGGGCAAACGTACAAAATCAGCAGGGGATCAAATACTTTTTTCCCTCACTGTATATATATACAAAATAAAATAAAACTATTAGTTACAACTGAAATCAACAGTACAACTACAGTGCCTTCAGAAAGTATTCATACACCATTACTTATTACACATTTTGATGTGTTACAGCCTGAATTCAAGATGGATGACATAATGATTTTTAGAAATGTTTGCAAATGAAATACATACATATCTAATTTACATAAGTATTCACACCCGAGTCAATACATGTTAGAATCACCTTTCGCAGCGATTACAGCTGTGAGCCTTTCTGGGTAAGTCTCTAAAAGCTTTGCACACCTGGATTGTGCAACATTTGCACATTATTCTTTTAAAAATTCTTCAAGCTCTGTCAAGTTGGTTGTTGATCATTGCTAGACAGACATTTTCAAATCTGGCCATAGATTGGCAAGACTGTAAGTATGCTACTCAGGAACATTCAATGTCGTCTTGGTAAGCAACCAGTGTATATTTTTTAGGTTTTAGGTTATTGTCCTGGAGAAAGGTGAATTTTCTCCCAGTGTCTGTTGGAAAGCAGACTGAACCAGGTTTTCCTCTATGATTTTTTCCATTTATTTTTATCCTAAAAAAACTCCCCAGTCCTTGTCAATAGCAAGCATACCCATAACATGATGCTGCCTCCACCATGCTTGAAAATATGAAGACTGGTACTCAGTGATGTGTTGGATTTGCCCCAAACATAACACTTTGTAAAGTTAATTTCTTTGTCACATTTTCGCAGTATTACGTTAGTGCCTTATTGCAAACAGGATGCATGTTTTGGAATATTTTTATTCTGTACAGGCTTACTTCTTTTCACTCTGAAATGTATGTTAGTATTGTGGAGTAACTACAATGTTGCTGATCCATCCTTAGTTATCTCCTATCACAGCCATTAAACTTTGTAACTGTTTTAAAATCACCATTGGACTCATGGTAAAATCCCTGAGCGGTTTCCTTCCTCTATGGCAACTGAGTTAGGAAGGGCACCTGTATCTTTGTTGTGACTGGGTGTATTGATACAACATCCAAAGTGTAATTAATAACTTCACCATGCTCAAATGGATATTCAATGTCTGCTTTTTATTTTATTTTTACCCATCTACCAATAGGTGCCCTTCTTTGCGAGGCATTGGAAAACCTCCCTGGTCTTTGTGGCTGAATCTGTGTTTGAAATTAAGTGCTTGATTGAGGGACTTTACAGATAATTGTATGTGTGGGGTACAGAGATGAGGTAGTGATGTTAAAAACTATTATTGCACACAGAGTGAGTCCATGCAACTTATTATGTGAATTGTTAAGTACATTTTTACTCCTGAACTTATTTAGGCTTGCCATAACAAAGAGGTGAAGACTTATTGACTCAAGATATTTTAGCTTTTCATTTGTAATTCATTTGTAAACATTTGCAAACATAATTCCACTTTGACATTATGGGGTATTGTGTGTAGATCAGAGACACAAAATCTCAATTTAATCCATTTTAAATTCAGGTTGTAACACAACAAAATGTGGACAAAGTCAAGGGGTGTGAATACTTTGAGGGCACTGTAAGTACAATTACAGTATTATTATTCATGCAATTCATTTTATTGTGTGTGTGTGTGTGTGTGTGTCCTACGTGTCCCACTCACCCCTGGCAGCTGGCACAAAGCTGCAGTAGCAGCGAGAGCAGCACCAACGCAGAGATGGCCATCAGGGTGCCCACTAGGACCAGCGGCTCGTTGCCTAGAGATGTCGCCGTGGCGACCCCTGAACCCGCGTCCCCTGGCCCCAACAAGGCACTCAGCACCGGAGCCATGATGCATCACACACTGGGAGGGGACCTGCTAGGAAGGGGGCATCACACACACCCTAGGGAGGAGGGAGGGAGAGAGAGAGAGGGAGGGAGAGAGGGGAGAGAGAGAGAGAGAGAGAGAGAGAGAGAGAGAGAGAGAGAGAGAGAGAGAGAGAGAGAGAGAGAGAGAGAGAGAGAGAGAGAGAGAGAGAGAGAGAGAGAACATCAACACAGTTGCATCAAAAGAATAGTGCAGAAAGGTCATTGATCAAGGAAGACAGTAAATGTACCACCTCTGATCCACATCTGACTCAGGTTCTTTCTCTTTATTCTATAGTGACCATAACAGGTTCATTCTCTTCATTCTATACTGGCCATCAGTGGTGTAAAGTACTTAAGTTAAAAAAAAATTATAAATAAATGTATGCACACATGACTGTAAGTCGCTTTGGATAAAAGCGTCTGCTAAAATGGCATATTATTATAAGTAAAAATACTTTAAAGTACTACTTAAGTAGTTTTTTGGGGTATCTGTACTTTACTTTACTATATATATTTTTGACAATTTTTATTTCACTACATTCCTAAAGAAAATAATGTATGTTTTACTCCATACATTTCCCCTGACATCCAAAAGTACTCGTTACATTTAGAATGCTTAGCAGGACAGGAAAATTGTCAAATTCACGCACTTATCAAGAGAACATCCCTGGTAATCCCTACTGCCTCTGACCTGGTGGACTCACTAAACACACATGCTTCTTTTGCACATGATGTCTGAGTGTTAGAGTGTTCTCCTGGCTATCCGTAAATTTAAAAAACAAGAGAATGGTGCCGTCTGGTTTGCTTAATATAATTAATTTGAAATGATTTATACTTTTACTTTTGATACTTAAGTATATTTTAGCAATTAAATTTACTTTTAACACTTAAGTATAATTAAAACCAAATACTTTTAGACTTTTACTCAAGTAGTATTTTATTGGGTGACTTTCACTCATACTCAAGTATGACAATTGGGTACTTTTTCCACCACTGCTGGCCATAAAAGGTTATTTCTCTTCATTCTATACTGGTCATAACAGGTTATTTCTCTTCATTCTATACTGGTCATAACAGGTTATTTCTATTCATTCTATACTGTTCATAACAGGTTATTTCTCTTCATTCTATACTGGCCATAACAGGTTCTTTCTTGTCATTCTATACAGTTCATAACAGTATTGTGCAGTGCTCTTCCACGACTAAACAAATCTATTCTAATCAGATATACCTGCAGTTGATAGATATATACTATAGTTACTTTGAGTTATGTTGCCACTTTCCAAATCATCAAATCATCAAATCATCACCCTTTAATGCAAAATGTGTCTTTTGTCTGTAATGTCTTTTTGGTTATGTGTCGGACCCCAGTAAGACTTGCTGTCACCGTTGGCGTTGGCTAATGGGGTACCTAATACATTTACATTTACATTTACGTCATTTAGCAGACGCTCTTATCCAGAGCGACTTACAAATTGGTGCATTCACCTTATAGCCAGTGGGATAACCACTTTACAATTATTATTTTATTTTTTATTTTTATTTTATCAAATAAAAAAATCTAATCCAATAGAAGACATTCTAATATCATTACAGTGGATATTAATTCATCATATAGCACTTAATTATGTTACTGTTGTGCTATTACAGATCTGCCTAGTTCACATGCAATGTAGTGCAGTGTTTTAAAACAGCCACAAGGGGTCAAGCCAGTGCAAACACAGACTGCAATGCAGGCATTCAGGGTCATACTATGTGCTACAGACCTGCTGCAGTCCCCTCACTCAGAGAATACTACAGAACTTGCATACTGCGCATGTAATAAGTAAACTTCCCATGTAAAGCCATATTTGCCTGAACACTATCCTAGAGGGTTAGGCTTAATTCAAATCAAAACAAATGTTATTTATCACATGCTTCGTAAAAAACAGGTGTAGACTAACAGTGAAATGCCTACTTACGGGCCCCTCCCAACAATGCAGAGAGAAAGGAAATTGAGAAATAATTGAAAAATAAAACACGTAATAATAAAAGCAATAATAAATACACAATGAGTAACGCTAACTTGGCTATATACATGGAGTACCAGTACAGAGTCGATGTGCATATAAGTAGGAATAAAGTGACAGATAATAAACAGCAGCATATGTGATCAGTCAAAAAAGTTGTACTGGGTTCTGGGCCTTACGCACTACCCTCAGTAGCACCTTGCGGTTGAATGCCAAGCAGTTGCCATACCAAGAGGTAATGCAGCCAGTCAAGATGCTCTCAACGGTGCAGCTGGGCCCATGCCAAATCTTTTCAGCCTCCAGATGGAGGAAGAGGCGTTGTCATGCCGTCTCCACGACTGTGTTGGTGTGTGTGGACCATGTTAATACCTTAGTGATGTGCACACTGAGAAGCTTGAAGCTCTCTACCAGCTCCACTACAGCCCTGTCAATGTGAATGTCCTGTAGTCCACGATCAGCTCATTTGTCTTGCTGACTTTGAGGGAGAGGTTGTTGTCCTGGCACCACACTACCAGGTCTCTGACCTCCTCCCTATAGGCTATCTCATCGTCGTCGGTGATCAGGCCTACCACCGTTGTGTTGTCGGCAAACTTAATGATGGTGTTGGAGTTGTGCGTGGCGACGCAGAATTGGGTGAACAGGGAGTATAAGAGAGGACTAAGGACGCACCCATGAGGGGTCCCTGTGTTGAGGATCAGCGTGGCACTAAGCCCAAACCAGATGGGATGGCATATCGCTAAAGAATGCTGTGGTTGCCATGCGGTTAATGTGCCTTGAATATAAATTAAATCACAGACAGTGTCACCCGACAAACACCCCTAAACCATAACACCTCCTCCTCCATGCTTTATGGTGGAACTTACACATTCAGAGATCATTTCCGTTCACCCTCACCCGCGTATCACAAAAGACAGGCGGTTGCAACCAAAAATCTCAAATTTGGACTCCAGACCAAAGCGAACCAAATTTCAACCGATTAATGGGTCATTGCTCGTGTTTCGGTGGCCCAAGAAGGTCCTCTTCTTCTTCTTGGTTGCCTTTAGTAGGGGTTTCTTTGCAGCAATTCGACATGAAGGCCTGATACCACACAGTCCCATCTGAAAAGTGATGTTGGATGTGTCTGGTACTTGGAACACTGTGAAAGCATTATTTGGGCTGCAATTTCTGAGGATGGTAACTCTAATGAACTTTTATCCTCTGCAAGACGAGGTAACTCTGGGTTTCCATTCCTGTGGCGGTCCCTGGACAGTCATTTCATCATAGCGCTGATGGTTTTTGCAATGTGAACATTCTTGAATGTTCTGTATTGACTGACCTCATGTCTTAAAGTAATGATGGACTGTCGTTCTCTTTGCTTATTTGAGCTGTTCTTGACATAATCTGGACTTGGTTTGGTACCACAACTGATTGGCTCAAACGAGATTAAGAAGGAAATAAATTCTACCAAATTAATTTTAACAAGCCACAACCTGTTAATTAAATGCATTCCCAGTTGGACTACCTCATTAATCTGGTTGAGGAGGAATGCCAAGAGTGTGCAAAGCTGTAATCAGGCAAAGGGTGGCTATTATATAAATATATTTTGATTTGTTTAACACTTTTTGGAAAAAAAACCTTATGTTGTCATCCAGAGTCACATTTATCTATTTCCCAAGCTATATCACACTAATTACATACAGAGGTGTTTAAAGGACCAAATTAGTTTGGTGTGCTTCGTGTTTCATTTATAGCGCACAGGCTTAGACAACGCCCAACCACCGCGTGCTGCTGCCACTCTAATTGGTTGGTCCTTGCACGCACAACCCACGTGGAGTTCCAGGTCTTGGAGCCTCTGGAAACTTACCGTTCTAGCGGCCAATAAGGCAGAGTTCATCTCAGGCCTATGCTACCCTCCAGTCCTCGAACCTTCTTGGCCGCGGATGGGAAACATGGATTACACACAGAAAACACTGCTACTCCTTGTGACGGATACAGGTATCCTGTGTTTTGTGTGTTTCTACTCCTCTGCCCTATCACAGGTGTCCTGTATGGTCCTGATTGGTGGGCGTTTGAGGGGGTCTGCTGATTGACCAATAAGTGAACATTCCGTGCAGTTGCCACCACCTGTTAACTCGTTGGTTCAATCACACATCCATTGTATTAAAAAACCAGTCTGGGTTTGTTGAGAGAGGAGGAGAGACTTTTGCCATATGTGAGTATGGAAACGGTGGTGTCCTGTGATGTTACTCACTCAGTTGTGGGTTACCTGTTGGTAAACTATTAGAATTATATTTTCTTTATGTGAGTGTGGATACTGTGGTGGTCCTGTGTATTGCGTACTTACTTTGTTGCTGATACCCCTGTTTGGTAGCTTTGTGTGTTTATGGGAAAAGGGGATTAGTTTAAGACCACTATTGTTTCATTTCTGGGTCCTGCTCAGCCCTTTTTCCCAAACCTTTACCGTGTGTTTAGTAATAACCATTTATGTTTGACGGTGTTCATGGTTGTTGTGTCATTTTTGGTTCTCACTGTTCCAGGTCACACTTATATTGCATAATTTATGTTACGGGTCTCATGTCCATCCCACCCTAGACGTTTAGAGCCACGGGGTTCGTAACATAAAGTGGGGGTTCGTCCGGGATTTGAACGTGCTACTCATGCAAATTAGTAAGTGTCTGGTTCAGTGTTGAGCTTGGCAGCTGTACTACCTGTTTTTTTGTGTGTTCAGTAGTCGACGGCTCGTGTTGTTAGTAGGATGGCTACTTTGAGTTGGAGGCATTTTTGGAAAACCCTACGTGGGAGGTTTTTGAGAATTGCCGTAGAGTGGATCTACAGGTTTTGGCTGACCAACTTTCTGCACCCATTACCGAGGGGTTTAGTGAAAGCAGAAGTTAGGGAAGTAGTGCTAGCGATATTGTTGAACGAGCGAGTGCTTGAGTTACCGCCGCCTGAGTCTGCTGCTCCTGTAGGGGAGGTGGTTGCTGTTCCTGTAAGCCCATCAGTGTCTGAGGACGAGGCTAAGGCCTCCGGCCACATTGCCCCCGTTATGAC